ACATTTTTATACAAGAAAGATTAATAATCCAGTTAACTTATAATTCTGGGTTAGCGTTAACCAGCTTTCGAATAACCCAACCTTGATGATTAACAGATATCAAGTTGAGGATTCTCTCTTATTTTCATCATCTGCCTGCTTGAGATTTAGCAATGTTATGGCCACATGTTGACGACAACTTGTGCACAGGATCTAATGATTACATTTCTGACCATAACATGAAACTGCCTAATGGCCACTGAGACTTTGTCACTAGAATGGAAATACTAGCATAGGAAGTCGTTTGCCTTGCACATTGACATTGTTTGACTTCTTTGCTAAATCACCCTCTTGACAACATTGTCAGGAGAATTGTGAGGTTCATAACTTTTTGATACTTGTGTAATTAAATGTTCATGAACATCCATAACAAATAAGCAACAATACACAATAATGGCCCACACATTATGCTTGGGTCAGTAATTCCCAGTGACGAATTTATCAAAGTAGTTTAGGAAACACAAAATGTTGTGGTCTTTGATAATGAAATAAACAACTTTTAATATTTATCTTTTAATAGTTTTCATTCTTTTACATCTCCATGTATATTAAACAAATTAAAAATATATCAATTTGATACTTTCAAGTTCATCACAAGTTAATAGAGTCTGTCACAAGTTAATAAATTAATCTGTTTATAATATGTACTACATAACAGTTCAAACAGTATAAATAAATTAGCACCAACACATACTTTGTACTACTCAGGTTTCTTAAAATAAATTATGCCATTACTTTATACAGAACGTGTACAAATAAACACCAATAAACTATTATCAACACAGTCTGTTGTGCCTTCGTTCCAAAACAAGCAAAAATATTATGAATACAGCAAATTCAACGTAAAACCATGTTGAAAATATTAGTCCATTAACAACTTCCAAGAAACTAGAGTTCCAAGAATGGCAAGTAAATGAAAATGTTATTTTATGAGTGAAGCTAATCAAAATTTATCTGTTGTCACTATAGCTTTAACAATTTTTCAATGAAACCAAGCTAAATGAAGACAGTGTGATAAAATACTTATTGACCAAGTTAGGTCAGGCTAGACCACCCTGTCCTAATGGCATGACCTTTAAGATGATTTCCAGTCCGTACTGCACACTCTTGAGAGTTTGTTTACGTTTTTTGTTTTGTTTCAGGAAAGACATCACAAAATGTGAACATTTTGCAACCACTTACGTGAAGTAAATTCAAAGTTTCATGTCAACTGCCATGATAATGGATGCGAAGCTTAATGCTTTGTTCTTTCTCATATCACTTGATGAAACAACTTCGCAGCTGTAAAAGTCAATGAAGCTGTTGGAAAAAGAATTTGAAAGGCCTCAACCATAAGGTATGTGGTTTGTAAAAAACAACATCAATTCGCATTCCGTCGAGTGAGACTTATAATGTTTATAAACAATAGGGTGCTGAGATCACGCACTACGGACTGGAAACCATCTTAAGCCTAACATTTTCTCGTCTGTCACTCACTCTTGTTCTATGTTTTACTAAGACCTAAAGAAGCACTCAAAATAATGTTATCTCTTCACTTTGAAATCTTTTAGAACACCTTATTTCAAGGTATATGTAATTGCTTACAAAATTCAAAGACAATTCACTGATGAAACTGATACATTGACATCCTTCAAAGACAAAAATTTACCTCATACAAGTATACAACCTTCATCAATAAAATATTGAGCTTCTTAATTTCAATATTTTACCCAATAAGTCATTTTCAAAGTGATAACATTTAAATGTTGAAAGTGAAAGTTGTTTGGATGTTACAGCTTTGCCATAATATTATCATTTCCAAAAACCTAGAATTTCATCAGAAATTCCATGATTTGCATCTTATTTTAATTTCTCTTCTTGAGGCTTGGAGATGCGATGAAAATCTCTTAAATCAATATTTACTTAAAAGGAAGGAGCGCTTAAATCATCCTGGGTGGTTGCCAAGAAAACCAGTTTTACAATACCTTATATCTACTTTAAACTTCAATTACCTTGAAAGCATTTCAAACTACTCTTAAAGAGTATTACAAAAATGCTGGTATAATTTGACATTTTGTCAGTAAAGTGTTGATGGAAAAGTTTACATTTTAAATAAATTCTACACGCATGAACCAAAAATAAATAAATAAATAACTAGTTACATCTATCACTATGTGACAGATACGTGCACCTTAAGACAAAGTATTAATACCCTTTCTGTTAACTAAATCTTTAAGTAAATATACCATACTGTATTCAAGTTTGCAAACTGTGTTGCATAGTACGTTCAGAATATTTTTGTTATTTAAGTTTTATCTTCATGAACCTAGGCTCCAATAATTATTATTCTTTTCAGTTTTAGATTCACTTACAAAAACAAGGTGCTAAACATTTTACAACATGATGCACTCAGTTGTTTAAAGCACAATTTGAAATAACCTAATCAAGGATATGTGTTGACTTTAAATTCAGTTACAATTAATGAATTATTTTTCTGTATCAAGTTATTTATCCAAGATAAGCCTAAACTGGCTTTCAAACAAGTGAACCATCAATGGTAAAATTTACTTCTTGTAGCATTTAAATTGATCTTAACAGAGAAAGAACTGTTCTTTTGTTATATTCAATTGTAATGTACATGCTTAAAGGCCAGCACACACTAGAGGACATGTTGTGGGGACATAAGGTGGGGACATGTTGCAGCAACAGCTTTCTTCATGTGACATGCCAGTTTCTGCGAAAACGTTATGGTGCAGCAATAAAATTGTGTCCCTGCAACATGTTGCATGACATTCAGCTGGTTTGAATTTGTGAATCATGAAGCAGGGACAAAATGGTCTCAATTTTCGACATCGCATTGTCTGCACTGCCATTGCAAACTGTTCCTGCTACAACACATTTTTATGCCTCAATCCGTTTCGTGTTCACCATCTTGCATACCTCCCTTGACACATGTATCCTATGTATGCACACAAAGAGGTATGTCCCTGCTTCACATCCCACAACATTTACCCTAGTATGTGCCAACCTTAATAAGTTGGATTTTTTTTGTGCCCTATCTTTCTTTGAAAACCCAAAAAATTCCCAGGCAAAGCAAGGCCACAAAGAAGGACACGAAAACAGCTACTGGATTAAAAAGAGCATACAGTAATACAGCAAGAATAGGCCAGGAGGTAGTGCTGAAGAAGATTGCCTTGAAAGAAGAGATCTGCAGAGGTGGCCGTGCATTTATCTGAAATGAAATGAAAGGCAAAAGTTACTGTGTGAGCCAACAACTACAGGAATTTACTTCATGGAAATAAGTGCTNTTCCTGTATGAGAGAGCAGCATGTTTGCAATAAGCCTGGGCCACTCATCCTACACTATAGGTTGAATACAAGTTAAAAAGGAACAAAACAAGTTTTATGATCATTTGGTGCATTTTTTTCTTCCTTTTCATTGGCCGAGAGCCCACCACGTGACCTGCGTCTGCTTACAAATAATGGTCTGCTCATGTGTAGTACCGTGTAAACGTGTTTTGCTGCAAATAATGTTCTGCTCATACGTAATTAAAACCACGTTCTCAAGGGGGAAAATGGCAGATCGCTTCCCTGAGCTGTCAGATAGTGATTAAAATTGGAAAACAAACTTAGTGATCCAATGATAAAACAATTATTGAACTCAGTTATCGCAAAATATCGTGATTTGTCACTGTCTCACGAATCAATTATTTACCTCAGCCTTCGGCTCCAGCAAATAATTGATCTGCTCGCGCCACTGACAAATCACGATATTTTGCTCAACCTCGTCCAATAATTATTAATCATTTCCTTACCTTGGTTCTTTTGCTGAGCCTGAACGGGTTAATACTTTATAAGTCGGTGGACGCTTTGGAAGAGCGGTTTTTGCACCGTCTCTACCGCCAAATGAAGAGGAAGCCAGTCTTCTACAGACAAAAACAGTAATACATGTTTAATAACTAGCTTTACTGCATCTTCTTTTGTAAATCCTAGGCCTCTCTATTGGCCACAACAGTAAAAATCAAGGTTCTCCTTAAGTTATAGTCATTCCTAATGGTGACTTATAATAATATTAAGTAATTTATTAAAACTCTTTGGCAGTCTTGTGTCAGACTTGTGACTTGGTCACTGCCACAAATTGTACTGCAAAGGTTTCTGCAAAGCAACACTACAATAGTATTATTAATGGTAAAAAAAGCTAACTCTCACCTCGGATCAGAAGTTCCATTCTTAGTTTCCATTTTTCTTCTGACCTCTGCTTGTCTTTCTCTTTGTAATTCTTCATGTTGTGATTGGAGTTTCTTGGCAGCACTTCTCCGTTCCTCTACCTGTCTTTCTTCCTCTTCCTTCTTTCGCCGTTGCTCAGCTTCAATTTGTAGGAATTCCTGGTCAAAAAATAGAACACCAGTAACAGAATTAGCAAATGACATCAATTTAAAAAAAAAAAACACCTTGCAAGGCATAATAAACAGTACTGCTCAGAAAATCTGTTCAAAAGCTTTCATTTCAAGAGGCACTGTAAGGGTTAAATTCTGACAAGTGACACAGTGTTTAAACAGTGACATGGGTGGTGATAAAAAGATGACACAAAACACAACTTGTGCTAAAATTCTAAAAGTTATGATAGGACTTTCCCGATTTGCAACATGAAAAAGGTTGAAATTCACACAAGGGACAAGCATAAACCTCCTTTGAATGGTATGACACCAGAGTATTATACACAATCTTTCAAGTTAGAATGACCTTGTACAGTATCAAACAGCACCATGTGGCCATGCTTCACAACAGCCTTCAATCAAAACGATCATGCACAAGGGTTTCATTCACAGATGTCTCAGTTGAAACGATCTTGTACAGCCAATAAACTCTCCCCCCTCACCATTTTGTCAGGCAGCACTAACAGTTCTCCAGTACAAGTGCTCTACTCCTTAGAGGGGAGAGACGTGGCAAGAGTGAAGTGGCTTGTCCAAGAACACAGTGAAACCATTAGTACTCAAAACAGGCCCAGATATCAAACCAACTTGAGAAGAAACATTTCCCTAATAAAATTTGGTAACCTCGAGTTCATGAATTTAATTTCTAAACAGGGAAAAAATGAAGTACCTTTTCAAAGTAATGTTAACATTTCTGGACTTGTAGCAAGATAATATGAAGGGAATGCTGTATGCTTGAATGAGAGTGTATAGTGTAGAACACTTTGTGTAACAATCATTAAAGTAAACTTGGTTGCATCGTTGACTTTCTCAATGTTCCAAATGCTTTTTGGAAAAAAAAACACACACACACAAAATGAGAACATCCTCAGGAGTCAATCATTCTCACAACACAATTCCATGATCATTTATCATTTATTTTCCTGTTCCTAACAGGAACATTTGTCTTGGTTGTCATCTTGGTAAAACTGGTATTCATTAAACTCATTAAAGAGTTGAGATCACTTGTACATTATCTGGTATTTACAATGTACTTTACATCCATCTCTGATTAACTGCTGCCTTAGACTGTTGTCACAATCATGATTAACAGCCATCAAAAAGTATAACTATGGTCAACAACTGATTTCCATTTTATTTTCTTTTAGTTTTATTTAGTTCTCGGTTTACATCATTTTTGAACTTCTTTCATAAACTAGCACACAAAAAAAACTCCCAATAAAGCATTTTAATCATGTTTGAATCACAAAGTACATATTAAGTTTCTACATAAAATCTTTAATGTTCATGTGCATTCAAAGTCTAATTTCACCTTTCATGTAATTGTATTGTCAAGCAGTATTGTCAGCTGTATTGTCAACTATGAGGATACTGTCTGGAGTTAATGCAGGAAGTCTTGGTACTTCAGTGGTTTGGGATTAAACTGAAATCTTGCTGGTTTACCCTAACCCCAAACTCCTTAAAGGTAACCTCGCAAATAATTCTTTGCTCTCTTCACTGTACTAACAATGATCCATAATAATACTGGTAATCCAAATCCAGTTTGTCTAAATCATGCTCACTTATTACCATGCAATTGTTTTAATGTCAGTTCTGAAAATTTGGGCCAGGTTGTTCAAAGCCCAATTAAGCTAACCCAGGATTGGCAAGAGTTTTGAATTCAGTTTTGTAACTTTTTGGTGACGTTTTCTGTTTATATTGTTTGTCCTTCAGGTTTGAGTTTAAAAAATCTCAAACTACACAAAGCACAGGTAGTGGAAAACATTTTTATACAAGAAAGATTAATAATCCAGTTAACTTATAATTCTGGGTTAGCGTTAACCAGCTTTCGAATAACCCAACCTTGATGATTAACAGATATCAAGTTGAGGATTCTCTCTTATTTTCATCATCTGCCTGCTTGAGATTTAGCAATGTTATGGCCACATGTTGACGACAACTTGTGCACAGGATCTAATGATTACATTTCTGACCATAACATGAAACTGCCTAATGGCCACTGAGACTTTGTCACTAGAATGGAAATACTAGCATAGGAAGTCGTTTGCCTTGCACATTGACATTGTTTGACTTCTTTGCTAAATCACCCTCTTGACAACATTGTCAGGAGAATTGTGAGGTTCATAACTTTTTGATACTTGTGTAATTAAATGTTCATGAACATCCATAACAAATAAGCAACAATACACAATAATGGCCCACACATTATGCTTGGGTCAGTAATTCCCAGTGACGAATTTATCAAAGTAGTTTAGGAAACACAAAATGTTGTGGTCTTTGATAATGAAATAAACAACTTTTAATATTTATCTTTTAATAGTTTTCATTCTTTTACATCTCCATGTATATTAAACAAATTAAAAATATATCAATTTGATACTTTCAAGTTCATCACAAGTTAATAGAGTCTGTCACAAGTTAATAAATTAATCTGTTTATAATATGTACTACATAACAGTTCAAACAGTATAAATAAATTAGCACCAACACATACTTTGTACTACTCAGGTTTCTTAAAATAAATTATGCCATTACTTTATACAGAACGTGTACAAATAAACACCAATAAACTATTATCAACACAGTCTGTTGTGCCTTCGTTCCAAAACAAGCAAAAATATTATGAATACAGCAAATTCAACGTAAAACCATGTTGAAAATATTAGTCCATTAACAACTTCCAAGAAACTAGAGTTCCAAGAATGGCAAGTAAATGAAAATGTTATTTTATGAGTGAAGCTAATCAAAATTTATCTGTTGTCACTATAGCTTTAACAATTTTTCAATGAAACCAAGCTAAATGAAGACAGTGTGATAAAATACTTATTGACCAAGTTAGGTCAGGCTAGACCACCCTGTCCTAATGGCATGACCTTTAAGATGATTTCCAGTCCGTACTGCACACTCTTGAGAGTTTGTTTACGTTTTTTGTTTTGTTTCAGGAAAGACATCACAAAATGTGAACATTTTGCAACCACTTACGTGAAGTAAATTCAAAGTTTCATGTCAACTGCCATGATAATGGATGCGAAGCTTAATGCTTTGTTCTTTCTCATATCACTTGATGAAACAACTTCGCAGCTGTAAAAGTCAATGAAGCTGTTGGAAAAAGAATTTGAAAGGCCTCAACCATAAGGTATGTGGTTTGTAAAAAACAACATCAATTCGCATTCCGTCGAGTGAGACTTATAATGTTTATAAACAATAGGGTGCTGAGATCACGCACTACGGACTGGAAACCATCTTAAGCCTAACATTTTCTCGTCTGTCACTCACTCTTGTTCTATGTTTTACTAAGACCTAAAGAAGCACTCAAAATAATGTTATCTCTTCACTTTGAAATCTTTTAGAACACCTTATTTCAAGGTATATGTAATTGCTTACAAAATTCAAAGACAATTCACTGATGAAACTGATACATTGACATCCTTCAAAGACAAAAATTTACCTCATACAAGTATACAACCTTCATCAATAAAATATTGAGCTTCTTAATTTCAATATTTTACCCAATAAGTCATTTTCAAAGTGATAACATTTAAATGTTGAAAGTGAAAGTTGTTTGGATGTTACAGCTTTGCCATAATATTATCATTTCCAAAAACCTAGAATTTCATCAGAAATTCCATGATTTGCATCTTATTTTAATTTCTCTTCTTGAGGCTTGGAGATGCGATGAAAATCTCTTAAATCAATATTTACTTAAAAGGAAGGAGCGCTTAAATCATCCTGGGTGGTTGCCAAGAAAACCAGTTTTACAATACCTTATATCTACTTTAAACTTCAATTACCTTGAAAGCATTTCAAACTACTCTTAAAGAGTATTACAAAAATGCTGGTATAATTTGACATTTTGTCAGTAAAGTGTTGATGGAAAAGTTTACATTTTAAATAAATTCTACACGCATGAACCAAAAATAAATAAATAAATAACTAGTTACATCTATCACTATGTGACAGATACGTGCACCTTAAGACAAAGTATTAATACCCTTTCTGTTAACTAAATCTTTAAGTAAATATACCATACTGTATTCAAGTTTGCAAACTGTGTTGCATAGTACGTTCAGAATATTTTTGTTATTTAAGTTTTATCTTCATGAACCTAGGCTCCAATAATTATTATTCTTTTCAGTTTTAGATTCACTTACAAAAACAAGGTGCTAAACATTTTACAACATGATGCACTCAGTTGTTTAAAGCACAATTTGAAATAACCTAATCAAGGATATGTGTTGACTTTAAATTCAGTTACAATTAATGAATTATTTTTCTGTATCAAGTTATTTATCCAAGATAAGCCTAAACTGGCTTTCAAACAAGTGAACCATCAATGGTAAAATTTACTTCTTGTAGCATTTAAATTGATCTTAACAGAGAAAGAACTGTTCTTTTGTTATATTCAATTGTAATGTACATGCTTAAAGGCCAGCACACACTAGAGGACATGTTGTGGGGACATAAGGTGGGGACATGTTGCAGCAACAGCTTTCTTCATGTGACATGCCAGTTTCTGCGAAAACGTTATGGTGCAGCAATAAAATTGTGTCCCTGCAACATGTTGCATGACATTCAGCTGGTTTGAATTTGTGAATCATGAAGCAGGGACAAAATGGTCTCAATTTTCGACATCGCATTGTCTGCACTGCCATTGCAAACTGTTCCTGCTACAACACATTTTTATGCCTCAATCCGTTTCGTGTTCACCATCTTGCATACCTCCCTTGACACATGTATCCTATGTATGCACACAAAGAGGTATGTCCCTGCTTCACATCCCACAACATTTACCCTAGTATGTGCCAACCTTAATAAGTTGGATTTTTTTTGTGCCCTATCTTTCTTTGAAAACCCAAAAAATTCCCAGGCAAAGCAAGGCCACAAAGAAGGACACGAAAACAGCTACTGGATTAAAAAGAGCATACAGTAATACAGCAAGAATAGGCCAGGAGGTAGTGCTGAAGAAGATTGCCTTGAAAGAAGAGATCTGCAGAGGTGGCCGTGCATTTATCTGAAATGAAATGAAAGGCAAAAGTTACTGTGTGAGCCAACAACTACAGGAATTTACTTCATGGAAATAAGTGCTTGTGACTTTCAACTTAGTTCCAAAAAGTAATGCATTGTTAATGGCCACACAGAAACTTGTGTCTTTGCTTGTTTTAAGCTTTATTTTTAATCTTTACCAATTTAAATCTTTTTTTTTTTAACAAAAGCTAATCTCATAAGAAGAATTTACATTGCTTTGGGCCACCTCACTTTAGTGTAGAGTTTAATTTAATAAAAATAAACCAAGCATGTGTGACAATTAACTGTTATTGACAGAAGGTTAAACGTTTAGTTCACTTTAATTAATATCATTTTTTAACAATAACCACTACAGAAGCATGCTTAATACGGAGCAAGAGGTGGAAGAAATGCTTGAGCTTTTCAAATGAGCAGAGCAACATGGAATGGAATAATGCTGTGTTTTTCTAAATTTAATGGTTTTGTTGTTTTAACTGTAGCAAATTACACCATTAACTCTCCTTGACATAATAAACTTAACAAATA